GTTTACAAACTTACCAAAAAGAAGTATACTTTAAGTACATGTCATTAAAATATTAAAAGTATATAAAAGTGTATTTCCCTAAATATAATTTTATATATGTACTATCAGTTTACTAATAAGTGTACTTCTAGGACTAAATTGGCCCACGATAAGTTTATGAAAGTAAACTAAAAAGAATCTTCTTAGTATACTTTTAGTTTAATCTTCAAATACACAACAAATAAACCAGTATATGTGGAAATGGACTTTCAGTGTACCATTAAAGTGTATCTTGGCCAAAAGTTTAAACATTAGTATAAACTAAGTATACTTAAACTTGTAGTATATTTTCAGTACAAGCTAAGTATAGTGAGAGATTAACTTGGTTAAGTGTATCTCAGATAAGTACATAAAAAGTAAACTGGAACTATACTCTTTATTTTTTTGTTTTAAATTAGTATACTTAAAGGATACTTGCATGTACTACGATTTGCTGAGCAGAACCAAAGAGCTGAAATGGTCCAGAACCTGAAAGACATCAGAGCAGAACCCAAACAGACTGAGCCAGAATGAATGTTGTATTTTATGCACCATGAGTTGCAGCCTGCTTTGATTTACACCAACATGACAGTAAAACCCGTTTCATCTCTCAGGATCATGTTCTCAGATGAACCTGGGTCGGGCCTGCTGCACCAGAGACAAAGTGTTTGTGGGTCAGCGGCGGTGCTGAATCAGTCTGAGGCACGAGATAAAAATAAGAACTACACAACTCTGTCTGTTTGAGGTGCTGACCACGCCAGCAGCCTGCTTTTTTAATTTGTTTATTTTTGTTCTGAGGCGTCAGTGAGGCGTCAAATGAGCTCTGCTGGAAGCGGWGCTGCAGGTGGACTTTCACATAAACACAGAAGGTAAGAAGGTCCTTCAGTCTGACCCGGAGTCTGAGGAAATCGTTGGTTTGAGGCAGAGATTCTGATCTGCATCAAGAAAAACTGCATCCAAATAACTTTTTACATTTATCGCTCTGCAGCTCCATTTATCTGGGTTATTAAGATTAAAGTTAAAGGTACTCTGTTTTTGTTCTTCAGGTGAAAAAAAAAAGAAAAATAAAAACATGCAGAAACTGCAAAAATACAAAATCACCAAAGAGCTTCACAAACTGAAATGTGTAATCAGGTCCATGCTAAATCAAGCATTGATGTCACCCGCTGCAATGAACGGCGCCCAGTCTTGTTTCCTGTTTGTGTCCATCTGTTAGCAAAATATCTCAATGTATGGATGTTAACCTCTTCAGCCCCAATGTTTTCTTGAGGTTTTTGCTCAAAACACCATGATGAAATGAAGTGTTTCTCAGCATTTACAAACTCTACTTAAATAATCTTGGTATCAAAATAAAGCAACATTTGGGAGATTTCATCACAAGTGTAAATATTAAAACAGCTGCTGTTGTTTCAGAGATATTGAGGATGGCACATAATATTATAATTTTTTTTCACTCTCACCTGAATAATTTTTTCATTAGATGGTATATAACCATTTAAAATCACAATGAATCAGGTTAAAAACTCTTAGAAACCATAAACCCACTTGTGAACATCACCTGTGCAAAGATTCATGTTGTTAAAATGAACTGGAGCAAAGTTAAAGAGGTTTTAGTAAAGAAATAATTTTGCGTTTATCACTCTGCACAGGACAGACCATGATGGTACCATAAATAAATGTTAAGTTTTTACATCCAAAAGTTATTTATTTTTCTTACCTGCCTTAAATGAATATTTGTTCTGTTGAAAAATTATCCAAACATTTATTTGTCACATTTTATTATATAAAATAATGAGAAATTATAC